GATTTGTAATATGCCTTTATTTAACGAATGGGTGTCAAAACAGTTATGATACAGAAAAAATATTCAAATACAATGATTTTTGAAGAAATGTATAATTTATAGACAATAACAGATGTGTACAGAAGGCTGAATAGGTTAAAAATCCACTCTGTTCTAACACTGCAAGGCAAACGCCAGTCCACAGCTAGTTTTACAGCTGTGTGTGAGCTGCATAAATCACTTGTCCTCTTAGTGTTTGCTACATTGAATGGCTGATATGTGCCATACATAGGGAACAAAATGTGTTTTGAATAAATATGCACATGTACATACACACATAAACATGCACATATAAACAAAAATATATACACATATACAAACATACACATTTACACACATAAATATACACTTGTGCACAAACACAATATACACATTTATACATATAAACACATACATAATATATTTATTATATAAATATACATGTGTATACAAATATACAAATACACTTGTACACACAAACATAAACATGCATATGAACATATACATATAAACATACATATGTACACACATAAACACATATGTATACGTGCAGCCAGCCAACCAGCCAGTTGTTCACCAGCCATTTCTACATTTTTTGTAGTCTTTTAAAGCGAATTATGAATCTTTCTGCTAGTACAATAACTACAGTTTCTTTATCAGATGTATATTCTTCAAAACTATCTAAAACCATTAAATTTTTGGTTGCTAATCAATTCAAAAGTAAGATTCTACTAATAGGCAACTACTAAGAAGGTAAAAACAAAAACAACTTTCCTTTTACAGGGATAAGAGATGTAACAGTGTTTCTAATGTAAAGCTGAAGACAGAATTGGATGAGGAGATTTACTTGTAGAAGACCACTTCACAAGCCAGGAGGCTGCACTCTACTGAAGGTGTAGTCTCCTTCTACTGACTAGCATTACAGTGAGGTCAGCAAGAACAACCCCAGTAGTGCTGTCTGTGGCTGGGGAGACTGTAGTTGAGTAGAGCTTGGGTTTAAGCTTTTACTCTGCAGGTTTTTTTTTTTTTT